CATGCTCCTGCCACAGCCGCAACCGCCAAAAGTCGCTGCCTGTTTATGTCTACAAGCATAGCTTCATCAAGCTGAATCGTCTAGCATCCCCCTTGCGATACATGAGCCAAAAAGGGCAATGACACCAGATGCGTTGGCTCCGAAGCATGCCTGTGTCGCATAGATGCAATTCGGGAACCCAGCACAGCACCAGGCCGAAAAGCTTTCCATGGCTTTGCAAAGTCCAGGGGGCAACCCGAATGCCCTCCGCTACCCTAAAGGCCTGAGCACCTAAACCTAAGCTCGTAGCTTAAAACTCTGGAGCTTCCCATCCTATACCCAAAGCCCCAACCAGAAATACCAATCCCTCAATTACAACACCGAGCCCTACGGACGATCTAAGCGCATGAGTGCTAAAGAACTCCCGAGCACCAAAAGGCGTTCAGCTCCCCTTGAGCCACGGCTCGATGGCACGCGTTGCAGGAGCTGGAAGCCTTGCTTCGGATACGTCCGGGGCCAATGGCATTGGGATCGTGGTCGATGGATGGTGTACGTGGCTGGTTTAATTAATGGATCGTGACTGAAATTATCCCAGAGAACAAATGGATGACTCATTGGTTTTCTTATTGGCAACTCATCCAGATAAGGCACAAATCATTCCCTGGATTCATTATCTTACTATTGTTCCCCTTCTTCATTCCCACGTTCGCGTACCCAAGCTCTCCAGATAAGGAATTGTTAGCCGCTTATGTTTTTTTGCTTTGTTTTGCTTTCTATCTGGATGGGTTTGTTATGATTATAACTTCCTATTAAAATTCACTCATCCAGATAATACCATTGAAGTGATTATCTTGGTATTTTTGTTATAATCGCATATTATTTTCTTCTACGGGGGAGACATTCATGTAACTATAAGGCTATTAATCATCCAAATATTTTAACTGGCCCGTATTGATTTTTCTAGGGTCGTCTATTCATTCATCACATTTCTCTCATCTCTCGCATCTTCCAATAAAATCCTCACATCTGCTTTGTTTATGATTCTCTATTCTTGGTAACTTGTCCTTGGGTTGGGATAATATTTTACGATAGAATCTTATTAGAGAATTTCAGCATGAAAATATATTTAAGAAAACAATTGGCTCTCTATGTAGCATCTTCTTGGCAATCTATTTCATATCTTATTTTGGTATTGGTTTGCATTACTAATGTAATCTCATTTACAATCATATCCTATTGCGGCTGTAGAATTTTGTAGGATAAATATTTTGTTAATTTTGTATTTTCAATATATTTTCTGGTAGTCTTATTTGGCACAGCTTTCTATCTTTCTAGAATTATAATAATGGAAATCTTGTCTCATTTTCCTCTTTTTCCAATAATATTCTCTCTCACCAACCCCTCCCAGCCCGCCCCCCCAACCCCTCGCGACCCCTCAGCGCCCACAGCTCCCACCGCTGCTGCTTTGCATCGTGCTTATGGCTCTAGCTAGGACTTAAGCTCCAACCCCCCGCGCTTTGCATCATGCGTATGTTCGGTGGCATGCCGGGCTACAGGCAAGATCCTCATTCTCAAGAGTCGGCATTTATCAGCTCTACAGCTTGACCCCGAGACTTGGGGAGCATCAAGATGTGGAGGTTTAGGATTACGAGGGTTTAGAGCTGAGGATCATGTTGCCGTCTTCGGAGCAATGACAGCAGTTCGAGAACGCACGGCATGGCTCGGCAGAACAGATGTTCCCATGGCGCTGCGACACATTGTGAGCAGGTATGAGCAGGTGCAAAGCCTGCTATCGTTGGTATGTATGAAGCCGTAATCCTATCCATGCTGCATCTGCAGTCGTGGACTAGGGTGGGCAAGGGGGCGGCGGCCAGGCCGGCCAGTGCCGCAGGCCCTACAAATATATAAGAATAGCTTAGCTAGGCGTGCATCCGCGCTGGACCACGACGGCCAGGCCGGATGGGAGGTGGCGCCACTGTCGCCGACCCTCCCTGCCCGTGCATCATCGGACATCCGTTTCTCCCCGGGCCCCTCCCTCACCCTTTCCAAAACCCCTCCAAAATTCACATGCGCTCCAAAAGCGGATCCCCACGGCACGGGGTGATTTTTGAAGGTTTTTGGAGTCCCGAACCATCAAAATCTGCATCATGAGCACGGGCGGTTTTGAAAACTAGCCCCAAGGCCCCTCTTGGGGTATGGCTGAGAAACTCCAATGAGGGGTCATTGGGCGCATGGGGATTTTTGATGATGCTGATGATGCTGGCCCCTTGGCCAGCATCATTGGCGTCCTGTTTCTCCCTTTGCCAGGCTTTTAAGCTGCCTGTGCACAGTGGGCAAGCATGAGACAGGTTTGGCGGTCATTGCCCAGGCCAAACCCTGTAACATGTGCATGTTGCATGGTTTTTGGGTGCGTTTTGCACTATTTTCAAAACTTTTGTGGCTCCTAATAGGGTGCTTAATGCGCGAAATGTGGCTGCTATTGGCAGCAGACTTGCAAAAAACGAAATGCCATCGTGGGCTAGAACGTGGTCAGCCTGCACAGAGAACCATGTCTGACGTCATCTTTGATGGCTCTTTGAGTTTTTGACCTTTCCTGGTCCCAATCAAGCCAAAATGGGGTCCCGATTGTGCTGATGATGTTCCTGTACGCAATTGGGAACACATTTTGGCTTAATTGGGACCAGGAAGGGTCAAAAGCCCAAGACAAGCTATCAAAGTACGAAGGCGGCAGGGCCAGCCCCTGCCGCTAGGCCTAAAACATTAATATAATACATATTTTCTCTATTTTGGAAAACCCAGGCCCCACGGCGACGCCTCCTGTAGATTAAACCATTAAAGAAGGCTTGCCAACAAAGATAATTTGCGAAGTGACACATGCACAAAACACAATCAGGGCAAAGACTACGAGAGCACAAAAGTTGTTTTCGACAGTGAAACGAAACTTCAGCGAAGCTGTCCGGCCCAGCTTGCTGGATGTTATCTGCGAGCAGCAACTAACCATCCATGGCCAAGGCTCTGCTTTGCAGCCGTCTGCAAACATCTGCAAACGGCGGCCGCTCTACAAATCTCTTTTCACATTGCCTGCGTTGCCCGCCGCTGGGCGCAGCCCCCTTAAATAATAGGAAGATTTTTAAAGTAGGGCATATAGCTAGTTCATATGCAAATCAAGACAGAAAGCCGCAAATAATGATCAATGTAGTCTAGCCGTCTAGCCCCGTTCCAACATCCATCAAATCCAAGCCTGTGAACCGAAATTCAATGATGTCCTTGCTTCCCTAGCAATTCTTTCCAGCCAAATCATAGCCCAGGTAGTGAGCCCCTCTTGGCAACGGGGGTCAGGGAATCAATGACTTCGTGATTTCCGCCATTGAGAATGACGAGCATGATGCTCAGCAGCAACAAAGGTCAACGAAGTAAGGTGGAATCTTAGTACTAGATCAATGCAGCTTCTATGCCTCTATGCCGGTCATCGCTCTGCAAGCCAAGCTGCTCTTAAATGTGCAAAAACCATGGGGCCACGTGGAAGGGCACGCGTGATATAATGGACTCAGTCGAGGTTTACCATTAGGGATGCATTGCTTTTTCCCTGTGAAACGGGAAGGAGTGGACGATGCAGGGTGCGAAGTGCACAACAAATGAAGGTTTGCATCTAGTCCTGCCGGAACCACGCCATCAGCCACATGCATCCTCCCATCCTTAAACCGAGAAGACCTATATACACTAAGCTGCTGTGCCAACACTTCTGCGCTTGCATGTTCTAGCACCATACATACATCCAGCTATATCCTGCAGGACTTCTTCTCTAGACTTCACTAACTGCAATGCAGCTAACGCCGTTGTGTTTCCTGCACTTTGGGCACAAGCAGCAGCAACTCTGACAAAGGTGAAACTCTGAGGGTACCTTTGTGAATCCATTTTCGAATATGCGTTGCTTGGATTTCGGGGCAGTTCAGCAACTCTGTTGCTTGACAAAAATCGTCTTCAAGCTCAAACACCAAGGGTGCCCTCAGCTCGAATCAATGACTTCCACATCGCTATATTCTCTAGGTTCGCCATGCAAATCGCCGAGTCCTGGGATCTCAACTGCCTCTGGGGGTCTCAGCGTCACTGTTGATGCATCCGAGAGAGCTCCGTCAGCCAGCTGCGGGTCATCGTCATTTCTAGCCTCGTCCCACTGACGATGACATTCAAAACTAGGGCAGCAATATCCCTGCAGAGCTGATAGTCACAATCGGGACCACATGAGAATCAAGAACAGCATCAGTCACGAAGCCGTTTCAAGGTACTTGAAGGGATGGATGTAACGTTGCAACAGCCGGCCAGCAAATCAGTTTCCTACAATCGTTGCTTGCCACAGCTGTCGCGGCAGGCCTGCAAGGACTCGTTGAAGGATTTGAAGAATGCGCTGAGCTCGGCATCATCCACAGCGTCCTCTCATGTCGGCAGAGCTTTGCAGGCGCTCTCATTGGTTTTAAGCGCGTTGTGCAAAACAACATTTTCTTCTTGCTTGACTGAACAGTGACTGAACCGATTGCCATCGTTTTATTTTTTCCTGTGGTTTCTCAACGTTTTAGACTTGTTTATCGGCATGCCATCCTTCACTGCTCCTCCTTTCTATATTATTCCAACTCAAGCTGCATTGCACTTCGCAGCAGCGTCAAGACATAATCTTGTGGCGGGACTACTATACAGCCCCGCGTAAGGTATGCTCAGGACATGCAACTCCTACACAGCACCAACGCAAATGCGCGTGCTTGTTTGAGAGTCCCCCAGGCAGACTGCACCCCTTTGCATTCGATCGCCCGAAATCATTGTTGGATATAGTTCGAGACATCGCTGACTTGTGGTCAGTAGTCAAAGTCATTATTTGAGGCCCAGACTTACTAAGAGGCACTCTGAGGAATATAAAGTCCCCACACCTGGCACACACTTTACACGACTTTACAGGCTGTGGAGGCCAGGGAATTGGACAAACAAGATGCTCTGAAGTGAAGCGCAATTAGCAACTCCATCAGGAATGCTCACGGATGGTAGTAGTCCCAACACTTAGCATAAATCACATCGTCGCAATTGCTCAGCAGCATGCACTCTGAACGTGAGGAACAGCCATCCACTGTGCCCGTGTTGAACTGAAATATCCTGCACCATGGAGTCTGATCGCACCTTTCTTTGCAATCAGCACGTGAGGTGAGATCGTATATGGATTGGGACTGGGTTGATGTCGTGCATGCATACTTTGCCACCTGCTCCCAGCCGCCGACGTTGGGTCTAAGACCACTGCACTCCAAATAGTAATCCTTCCCCTTGGAGTCATAGCAACTTCCACTCTGAGGAGAGCAGTAGGAACCGTAACAGGAATCGCAGCAGTTGGCATGAGGCTGAGCTTCCTCCCAAGTTCCTCCGCACGCCAAGTAGTAGGCCTTGGCCTTGTGATCGTAGCAACTGCCACTCTGTGGGGAGCAGAAGTCTGTGTGACAGCCATTGCAGCACCCTGCATGTTGCCACAAAGACCTCAAGGCCGCACCTTCCGCCGAGGTCGCATTGAGCCCTTTGCTTCCACGCAAAGTTGGAAGTGCCTCGGAACCTGCGGATCCCAGCCACGCCAGAAGGGTGACACGGGCAAAGAGGCGATGCAGCACCATTGCTGGCAAGCTAAGTGCGTAGGCAGGATGCGGTTGCTTGAGCTTCTACTCTTGCGGATTATTTTCAACGGATTAGTCTTCTCCAAGCGTTGTTGTAGCTGGCTTGATGAGTTCTGCGTCGTCAGGCTAGTGGCTTGTGATGCACCTCCCCTTTGTCATCGTGGAAGTAACTGGATCAGTGACGGTCAGTGTCTATCATGAGCAATTGTGTCAGCAGCTCCCAGCCATCTCCGGACTAGCCTTTCCCGCCAGCTTGGCCAGCTTGTAGCAGTTCCCCAGTCAAAGGCCACGGTTGTATTTAGGCCTAGTTTCTCCTGTTGTACACTTACGTCAACTTGACTGCAGCCCCTTGATAGATACTCATGCGGCGCCGATCAGTACCGGTGCCAAACCAAACCTGGGGTTGTAAAGACATGCGCTTGCGAATGAGACGTTTGACTGCTTCTCTGCATGCCTCCCAAACCCCAAACTTTGCTTGCTGTATACAGAAAGGCCTTACGCTTCTGGTCGAGCGGTTGCGGATGCTGTAATGGATGTTTATATCCATGTCAGGGTCAATGTGCTACGATGTCATGTTCGCCACAAGAGCTCCGTCTTACATATTGAAGTCACAGACTTTTCCTTGGCCTGGCCCAATCAATCTGCACGCGCTTCTGATTTGTACGGAGAAGAGCTAGGACTTCTCCTTACCCTTCCACGCCACAACCCTACCCACGAGCCCTGGTCCAGGCAGCCCTGGTCCCGGCTTGACGTGCGTTTATTACCTCCACAGCTTTAGTGGTGTTCGGGGGTTTCGGCTCGTGACCGTAACTACGCAAAATGGCGATCGCAAGCAGACAAAGAAGAAGTAGCTGACAAAGTGACCAACAGAGGGAAACGACCCAGCGCAGAAACTGAAGATGCCAAGGGTCAAGAAAACGCCACAACTTCCAAACAGAAAAGCCATGAGGGTTAGCACAAAAGTCCCGTTCGCTTTTGCTTGACCCAAAAAGCCATGGCCGTTTAATTTTCCACTGACTGATTTTTTCAATTCTGGAACCTTATCGGTTTGTTCTGGCTCTTTGTTCTTCTTGTCGTTTTTCCATCTCGAACCTGGATTTTGTAGTGGACGTGCCGTACGTCAGTACCACTCTAACCCAGCAAATCAGGGCCCTGCATGAACCGCAGAGGCTGTGGGAACGTGTCCAGCGTCAAGCTCAAGGCAAGAGTTCCAGCCATCGCAAATTCAATATTGACTTATATTGACTTGCTAGTCAATATTGTACAGCCAAATCCTAAAACCCTAAGCCTTCAAAGACGCAAGATTCGTCCTCTTCCTCCTCGGGCTCTGGAAGCTCCTCGGTGAGCCTGGCGGCTGGCCTGCGGCTGAACCCTCTCAGCAACAGAATTTACAAAGTACATGGGAAGGGCTAGATCCCTGAAGTTAGCGCATCAATGCGAACCAAGTCTTAAAGGTATTGTCCATTTCGTCTCTTCTTTTGCTTCTCTCCGATCCCATTGAAAGCTCTGCTTCGTGTCAGACAGCAGTCGCAAGGTACGCTCTCAGCGGCGATCACGGGCTTTAGCCGTGGGCAGGCGCAACGGGACTGCTGGGGATGCAGCCGCTTTTGAAGCATCCTTCAACATCACTGGAACTCTTTTGAGCAGGATCCGCTCAGGATCCTCAATGCTTCTTCAAGATCTGCACGGGCCTTGCTTGCAAGGCAGAAGTATGGCCCAGGCTATCCAGTTTGGCTTTAGGCAATGAGGCGCGGGTCAAGTCGCCTTAGAGCTGCGCTGCTCACTTGCGCGTGCGCCTTTACGTGGGCCCGGCCCTCCGACGCACGTGCTCGCGCCTGAAGCGTGCGGCGCGTGCCGGGCGAAGCTGCTGCAATAATCCCTCTGAAGCCCCATCTTATGGGGAAGGCAAAATGCAGTAGCAGGAACCTCTACCATATTCTTGGGCTCTTAATTATTTTGGCAATCTACTGTTTTTGAATCTGGGACACTTTTTAGTTCTGGCACCGGCGCCAGCAACTTTTACAAAATGCAACATTTGGATACTTCAGCAGTCAATGTTCATCGTCGCACAGGGTCCCACGGGGTGTTTGGAGGCTGCGAGCGCTGGTGAACGGAGCATTTGGGGGTATGCGGAGTCGAAGCCTGTGGCAAAAATCATCTTTTGGTAGCATCACAAGGGGCTCTTGGAGTCCCAGAGGCAGAAAGTAATGCTAAATTATTCTTATGTACCCCTCTGGCACACCTTTCATGGAATTTCTCAGCATTGCGTCCGCGTTTTCAAATAGCGGGAGGGCTGAGATGGCGCTTCTTGCACCCTTCTGATGGAAATTCTTAGTGGTTTGCTTGCACTACAATATGGGGAATCTACCTTTTCTGCAGACTCTCTAGATTTCCAACAGCTGTCATATGTGTGCAACTTTGCAGACATTGCATGGGCTTTCATTTGGTGTGTTTACAGACTGACCCAAGCCGCACATGCTGTAATTTCCGTGCTCATAGACTTGCTAAAGCCGCAAACGCTATCATTTTCAATGCACGTAGGCTTTCAAGAAATCCACGTGCAGTAACTTGCAAAATTCGTTTCTTTGCAGTGGAAGCGAATGCTGTAATTTCTAGAATGCTCGTAGCCTTCCAAGGTATGCAAATGCTGTAATGTGCAATCCTCACAATTTTCAAGAGCTGCTGAAGCTGTAATTTTTCGTGCTCGCAGCCTCGTACTTTTTCAAAAGCTCCAAATGCTGTAATTTAAAACATGTGCAGTTTTTCAAAGTACGCAATGCTGACCGGAGGACCAGCGGACCACAGTTAGAACCCCCCAAAATGCACAGAACAAAAAAAAAAGTTCCCAAATTCAACAGCCCTCTATTCTTGCAGCAAGGAGGCCTCTTCAAGCCTGGTCGGTCCGTGAGATCGACCATCTCCTTCCCTTCAGGACAAGACAGGCCCAGCAGTATGCAACGCCAAGATTGTGATCTCTCAGCCTTCATCTTCAGCGCTGACAGTGGGAACAGCTGTCAATAATCTGATGTTCACCTGGCCGTCACCCAGACAGCAAAGGATGAGCCGGGCATCAGCTCAGATGTACTAGCATGTGGGCTTCCGAGCCACACAAAGTTTGCGACGCTTCTTGGGACCGTTCTTCATCCGGTGCGCTTGTGCCATCTCCAACGCCATATATGCAGCCTTATGCGCACCTCAGCAACGGCATCTCAATGCCCTGAAGCTCCACAAACAGAATGGCCAGCTTTAACAATCCGCGTGCATATCAAGATTCCAACTCTGCGAAGGAGCTCCTGCAATGTGTTTTGCAACGCTGAGCCACTTGCTAAGGGACACGTCACTCTTGACAAAAGTAAAGTTTGAGGAGACGCGCCTGGACTGAAAAAGATGCGAAACGGGTGGCTTTCTCAGGTTTCTGCTTCACCGCATACCTGACCTTCCTCTCTGCCCAGTCCTTCAAATTCCGGAGCACATTTACAAGACAACGAACCCAACCTCATGGCAGAACCAGAGAAACATTCGTCCTCCAAGGTCTCTCCTTTCTCGGTCCTGCATGACAAGAAAAGGCTATGCGCATGGTGGAAGACCCGAATGCCCTGCTGACAGTGGGTTTGCATCTGCTACAAAGAGGTACGTGGCACAACTAGGAGCCCCATGACATGCGGCAGCCGAGTGCAAAGTCTAATGATTTTGTGTTTTGGCCTTTTGGGGGGAGTCTTGCATCTCAAATTAGGGCTTCAAAGGACAATATCTTTTCTGAAATGCGCTTTGCGCCCTCAACCAAATGGGAAGCCAAGAGGCTACATGACCTCCCGTCTACATCCCCCATATAGTCCCCCTTAAGTAAACAGAATATGGCTTTGGGGATATTAGAAGAAGATCCCCACATACCCCATATTCCATCTACATAAGGGGGACTATAGCTGCCAGATCCCTCTGCCTATAGCGTTTCCTGGTAAACATGCTCAGCATTGGGGTTCTGAATGCCAAACCTGGCAACCTTCGAATTCATTCACCGTTCTTAACAACTAGTCACTGCTAGTTGTCTGCGAAACCTGTGCTCCAATTGAATTATGCATCAGGAGTTCAAGGGCTGTAGCAAGATTAGACTAAGAGCAGCAAACCGACTTCCGTTCAGGTGTTTCTGCTCTTTGACTCAACCTGCGTGTATCCATGCCTGGCACTTCAGCAAGTTCCACAAATTACTCGCGTGTGAACGGGAACACCGGATGCCCTTGATGAGGGTAACAATTTGCTGGAGTGCTCGAAAATCGAAAAGTGGGCCAAAATGCTCTGTTAAAATGCTCTGTTGCCACTGCGAGGATAAGACTTGACTCGCGGGTGCCACTCTGCCGCGAACTGTCTGTGAGAGCTGCGGCAATGTGTTTTGCCATTTGCCACCAGCACTCTCAGTCTGCTGCTTTTCCATGGCCCGGAATAATAAATACAGAGTCTCAAGTCTGGGTCAGAATCCCAAAAGCGGGTATCTTTGTTAAAGAGGGAAGTGCGACGAGGGTGTGGCACGTGTATGACTCGAAGCGGAAATACTGGGCGTGGAGTACGCCCGAGTAGGTCTACAGCGCGTAAGTAGCCCCAACACCTTCTCGTCTGCTCGGCTGCTCTACTTCTTAATATTCAATAAGAAATACCACTGCTTTAATGTCTAAATGCGACAGTTCCTCCCTTTCCCAATAAGAAATGCCACAGCTATTTTAATGCTTAATCAGAAGGAAGCATCACAAATCTGATTCTTTTTGCATCCAGGCCTCTTGCAGACACAAATCTGATTCTACATAAGAATACCGCAGCTGCACCCCAGCCACGTGGACGCAAAGGAGTCATTTTTGTAGTTTTCAAGCTCAGAAAACTCCACCGCCGGGTTCCCTTGCGGCTCCTGACTCTCCGTAAAGGAGGGCGCCAGCTTGGCGTGTAACTTTTAGTTAGTTTGGGGTGCCTTGTTGGTATCCTCCTCTCCAGAAAACCCAGCAGGGTACAGATCA